CGCAGCCCGTACGGGCCGCGCGCGGGCCCCAGGGGCGCTTCGACGGGCGACGGGGGCGTTTTGGCGGGCGACGGGGGGCGCTCCGACGGGCGACGGGGGCGCTTCGACGGGCGACGGGGGGAGGGCGCTTCGACGGGCGACGGGGGGCACTTCGACGGTGGGAAACCGCCGCGCGCCTCGGGGCGCACGGCGTGCAGAAAACCGCCGCGCGCCCCGAGCGCACGGCGGGATGAAAACCGCCGAAACCCTAGAAAAAATTCGCCGCGTGCTCCGCGCACGGCAGGAAGAAGTCGTCGCGCGCCCGAGGCGCCCGGCAGGAAGTAAAGCAGCGGAAGCATTAGGTGGTGGGCCCACCCACAGGATCGACCCAGGAGGGTCGACCTGCTCTGATAGCATGTTAAAGTTAGCTGTAGAAAGTAAGAATGAAGAAAGGAGAGGGTTTGCACTAGCAACAATGGTGGTACAAATAGCTAACCCTAGAAGGGTTGTACTCGCTATAGAGCACCCCACTGCAGGCTAGAGCATAATATTCTGACAGGGGGTTGATACCCCTGGGCTGGACGCACGATGCCTCGTGCGTCTTGTCGGCCAGACCAGTTGCTCGGATTGGTCTGGCGAGGGCGAGATCGGTATTTACATCGATCCGCCAAGTGCCCAAATTTTCTGCAAATTTTACAGTAGAGGCGCCGCGGCCGTTGCTCTTCGGTGTTGTCGGCGTAGAAGGCGAGCCGTTCTCGTTCTCGTCGTGGCGCTGGTCGCTGCTGATCCATATCCCTCTGTTCGACGAGAAGGGCGGCGCAAAGGGCGGCCTCCGAGATGACCCCCTGCTGTCGGAGAAGCGACTTGCAGGGCCGCCACTCTGGGCCGAGCCCTTGAAGCACGATGTTGACAAAAAAAAATCCTCTGAGATCGAGCTTCCCAGCTTCGCGATTTGGTCGCGAAGGCTCCGACAGCGATTAAGGTAACTGTTGGCTTTCTCCCCTTGGGCCATTTTGGTCTCCAGTAGCTGCTGGAGCAGCCGGCTCGAAGAGACGGAGTCCTTGGGCTGATACACGCCATTCAGGTGACGCCAGGCGACGAGGGCTGGAGCAGGGGAAGTTTTGTATGAGCGAATACTCAACTGCTCCGTCGGCGACATATTGCGCAGAAGAACCCCGTATGCCATCAGGGACTAGTTGTAGTACCTTGTTCTAGCGTCGTCGGTATCTTCAGCAGGTTCCGCGCAACTCCTGTCGAAGTAGTGGAAAATCTGAGCGTTCTGGAGCAGGAGCTCCAGCTCTAAGCTCCAGATATAGAAATCTCTGTCGTCAAAGCAGGTACTTGTCTTTATTTTTGATCTGTTAAGAAACCTTGATTGCGCTGAGAGAATTGCTTCTTCACTGGGACGGGGAGTCTTGGGGGTTGAACCATTTGTGTCGAGGGAGAAGATATCCGGGGCGGTGTTCTGGCCGTTTGAGGTTGGTTGAGATGGTCGCGAGGAAGTTCCCGCGTCGCCATTCCGCAATGTTTGGAGCCCTTGCTCTAGGCTAGTGAGTCGCTGAAGAAGTTGTGCAGGACGGCGGTTCCGATCGTCGTTGTTTCCTCGCTTGTGGCAGCCGGGTTTGTCTGCGCTTCAGCCGTCAGATTCGTCTGACCACTGGATCCTCCGACCATTCTTACGCGCGAGCGTGTGCCGGACGTCACTTTTCGTTCGTCGAAGATTTCGGAGGTGGCAGTGCGAAGGATTCCCAATTCGCTCTCATACCATGTTACGATCAGAAACTGATCGACCCTAGGATCACCTCGCGTAGGTTCGCACACAACTGATTGATGGTGGTGGGCCCTTGACCTCAATAGCAGAGTGAATGTAAAATGCTTGAGATGAAATAAAACATGCAAATACAGTGGTATAAAATATGAGTATAGGGGAATTCGAATCGTCCTAGCTAGCCATGTACTCTGAGGGGTACATTCCCTTATTCAAATTCAAATCCAACCGTGCGGCGCGTACAGTTACGAAACCGTTCCCGCCAATTCCCTTGTTCCTGCAGCTGCTCGATTCCGTTTGCCTCCGACGGTCTGGATTCACTCCAACTGTTTACCCTGCCTTGAGTCAGCTATGACTCTTCGTGTTCGTACCTCGATACTGTGTGCTTCGCTTGCTTCGGTTAGGAGTGCAGAATTGTACTTCACTATTCGTAACAAATTCTATATCCGGGGCAAAGAAATTTCGAACGGACGGTTGTCCGGACTTTGACCGTACGGTAAGCCCCATTCGCCAATATTCGACATCCGAACCGTTTTCGGATGGTTTTCCGGACTTTGACCTCTCTCAAAAAATGTACCGCCCTAGGAACGACAAACTATTAGGGTGTTCATCGGGCTGTGCATTTGTAGTGAATAGAAGTGGCGTTCTTTAAATGGGGTTTTAATAGAATGGCTAAAGGGAGTTGTCATTAACAGGTATTCACGAAATACGTTACGAATGTTTTCGTCGTCGCTTTATCTCTGGCAATTTTGGCGAACGATATTTCGCCCATGCGAACCAAGAACCGCCGAGCACAAACTCTCACAGCAGCTGAAATGTTTTCAAGTTCCCACTTTTTCCCCCCTAGGAGTGTGTCGTTCCCTAAGACGCGCTGCCTCGGTGACTCCGCCTGTAAGCTTCGTGGCGCGGAATCAGAAGGCGAACGCTCTCATGCGGCGACGAATCTCGTGTTATGATAGACGTCGGGCCGCAATTCCATGTCTCGCGATGGCCTCCGCGCATCGCGGTTCGTGCTGCAAGGGAGTCAGCGACATTACAGCTCGCGCTCGCAGGAAACTTGCGACGTTGCTGCTATTGTTGCCGGAAGTCCCTCCTGTGACACCCGATTTTGTCTCCCGCGATATTAGCCTTGGAGCCAATCAGCATCTTCGGATTGATCTCGCCGCAGCACCTCATGGAGGCGTCATCTCGCTTGCCGTCTGAGGCGGAGTGCATGGTCCTCGCCTGCTCCGAACGCTTCCTCTGCGTCACGGTTTGTCCCACGGGTTTGTGGTTCCCGATGATGCGTTGGCTCGGTTCCGTTGCCCTATCGGTGTCGTGGCGTGCGATCGGAAGGCGAATGCTCTCATGACGATTCTCGTGTCACGACAAGTCAGGTCGCAACAATGGCATATTACGCGTTGCCTTCTGCGCAGTGCGCTTCGTGCTGCAAGGAAATCAGCGGCTTGCGAGCCATTATGCGTGAGCTCGCACGGGAAGGGCACTTGAGATTTAGTCCCCGTTCCCGCAATTCTCGTCTTAGTCGTTCCTGTGACTCCCATTCCTCCTTTTTTCTCTAAAGCCACCTTGAAGCGAGTTAGCACATTACTGGATCATATCTTAGCCTAAGCATTACATGGCGTCTTCATCTCGCTTACCGCCTGAGGCGGAGTGCATGGCCCTCGCATGCACCGAATGCTCCTTCTGCTTCATCATCCCGCGAACTTCGCTGCCGAAATCCACGCTGCCCAGCGCGCACGAGGTGCCGCTCTGCGTGTCACGAGCTCCCCTCCAGGGGCAGTATTAGTGGCAGCGGTGGCGGCAGCAGCGCAGTGGCAGCAGCAGCAGCAGCAGCGGCAGCAGCAGGTGTGGCATGTCTACTGGGAAGGGGTCTACGCCAGGTGAGGTTGCAACAGGGCTCCGCAATGAGGATGCTGCCACTGTGAAGAGTGGGTTGGTGACGGCGAAAGGCGAACAAGGCTTTGTCGACTTTGCAACCGAGCAGACAGACGGCTGTGTGGAGAAGGGAAGCGAGAGTGATGGGGCTGATGCGGCTGGAGGTAAAGAGGGCGACGAGCGTGAGGAAGAAGAAAAGGGGGGGGAGGCAGAGACAGAGGGTACCGTAGGCACTGGAGACGTTGGAAAGGGCAAGGGGAGAGTGGGAGATACGGAAGGTGCAGGGAAGGAAGAGGTGGATGGCGGCGCCAATGAAGATGATGTTTCGGCTGGGTCTGGCTGTTGGGGAAGCAGCGCAGTTGCTGCTGTGAGCACAGGCATGCAGGCAGCAGCAGCAAGCGAGGGGAAAGGGGTAGAGGGGGAAGCAACAAGTGACATGGAGGTTGCAGTGGTGGCGCTGGCAGCTCCTGTGGCTGGAGTTGCTGGATCGGTGCCAAGCACAGCACCCGTCTCTCCCCTTGCGGCAGGACCCTTGCTCCAAGCATCAGTGCCAGCAGCAGCAGCAGCAGCAGCAGGGGATAGAGCAGGAGCAACAGGGGCAGGCACTGGCGCAGGTGCAAGGGCGGAGGATGCGCGTGCAGCACAGCTGCCAGCTCAGGCAAGGCACATGTCAAGACACACGGGCTGCGCACTGCACGTCCTCCAGTGTTGCAACACAGGGAGCATGGGGAACATTCTCGTGCTAGCAATGGCGAGGGCTATAGCAGCCAAAGGAGCATGATGGGTGGCGGTGGTAGCAAGCCAGAGAACGGGATGCTTGCAGGGCTTTCAACACTTGTAGCGATTGCAGCAGATTTCCTCCTGCTCAAGAAGAAGGCTGATGAATATTTTGTTCTACCTTCAGATCGAAGGTGGGCGAGTCTGGAATGAAAGCTTGGCTCTGAGCTGACGTGTGTATTATGTCTGACAGAGATTCAGTTCAGAGCCTTTGTAAATACTGTTTGAAAAGTACTAAATGCAGAGGACCTATTACTGCTCCTTTCATCTGCCAGTGGGTGATTGGGACATCTTATGTACCGTTGAGGAGTTAGCACCTCCCATTTACCTAGTGTGTATAATACTTCTAGGACAAACATGTAAAATGCCGCCCGTTTACCTCCCGTTTAGTACCATAATGCTTGCCATCTTATTTCCTGGAAGTGGCCCCCCTTACAGCACCCCTACTCGTTCTTAGGGGAGTAGGTTGAAATGAGCACCAGATCCTTGACCTTCGTCGAGTACTCCAGCAGCATCGTCTCTCGCTTCTCCGTCACGAACTCACAGCTCCAGCATAGCCTCGCATTATTTGTTCCAGCGACTCTCCCCCCTTTCAGCTCTTCTACTCGTTCTTCGGGGAGTAGGTTGAAACGAGCACCAGGTCCTTGACCTTGGTCGAGTACTCCAGCATCGTCTCCCTCTTCTCCGTCACGAACTCACTGCTCCGCTCCATGAATTCGAGATAATCAGGCGATCCCGGATAGACGATGTTATCAGCTACTATGATAGTCCCAGGCCCGATGAGCTTCTGGTCTTTCAGGAACAGGAGGTCCGGCAGATATAGGTGCTTCACGTGATCGATGAACACCAGATCGAACGGAATCTTGCTCGCAGCTTGCCGAATCTCGTCAGTTGAAGTTTGAAGAGTCCCCGTAACGACGGTGACTTTGTCGCTGAGGCCCGCGTGCGCGACCATGCTGCGGACGATGGACGAGCGGAATTCGCTCAGCTCCACGGAAATTAGTCGAGCTCCCGGCTTGGAGAAATGAGATGCGATTCGAACCGCCGAGTACCCGCAGAACGCGCCGAGCTCGATTGCGCTGAGAGGGTTCGCGCGGCGGACGGCGTCGTCTAGGATAGCACCCTTCACGTCGCCGACGTTCATAAAGAATTCGCGGCTGGACCATGCGTAGGCATCGATGGCGCTAATCACTGCTTGCGGATCGTTTGCCGGCGTTGATTGCGTCACGTGCTCCAGCAGCCGAGCCTCCTGGCCGTCTGATTCCTGCCCCACCTCCCTTTCCTCCTCGCGATTCACAGCTTCGTCGGGCATGGTCGACAATTAAGTTCGTAGGCTAATGATGCGAAGCGGAACTACAAGAAAGATCGCGATTGGTGGCTTGGAGGACGCTGCGGGGTCGACAGCTGTCGCATGCGGTATCGGACAAGAAGTTTAGGCGGCTCGTGGAAAAAATAAAGCTGGGCACGGATTCTAGGAATGTTGAGATATGAAAGAACCACACCTGTAGAAGCTGTGTAGGGGAAAGCAACTGCAACGAGTAGCCTACCTAGGGGTTCGGGCCAAACGTGTGGACTCATGGTTTGCGAAGGTTCAGGAATTTTATAGCGAATCTGCCAGCGAGGCCGAACGACCGTCGCCGAAGGAGTCAGTAACAGGAGTGTTCTACACTACCTTGTCACAACTGCATAAGTTATGAGATACAGGGATACATGTGCGACTGCACCCATAAAAAATATTGGCAAGAACATCGATTGCCTTCGTTCCTACCAGCAAAACTGGCCCTTTTCAGCACCCCTACTCGTCCTTAGGGGCGTAGGTTGAAATGAGCACCAGGTCTTTGTGTTTAGTAGAGTACTCTATCATAGACTCCCTCTTCTCCGTCACGAATTCAGTGCTCTTCTCCATGTATTCCAGGTATTCCGGACAACCTGGAATCCAAATATTATCAGCCACGATGACACTTCCAGGCCCGATGAGTTTATGCTCCTTTAGGAACAGGAGGTCTTGCACATAAAGCTCCTTCCAATGATCAATTAAGACAAAATCGAACGGGATCCTGCTCGCAGCTTGCCGAATTTCGTCAGTTGAGGTTTGCAGCGTGCCTGTAACGACGGTAACTTTGTCGCTGAGACCTGCGTGAGCGACCATGTCGCGGACGATGGACGAGCGGAGTTCGCACGGCTCGACAGAAATTAGCCGCGCTCCCGGCTTGGAGAAATGAGATGCGATCCGAACCGCCGAGTACCCGCAGTACCCGCCGAGCTCGATTGCGCTGAGCGGATTCGCGCGGCGGACGGCGTCGTCCAGGATGACGCCTTTCACGTCGCCGACGTTCATGAAAAACTCGCGGCTGGACCACGCGTATGCATCAATCGCGTTAATCACGGCTTGCGGGTCGTTGACTGGCGTGGATTTCGTCACGTGCTCCAGCAGCCGAGCCTCCTGGCCTTCTGTCTGCTGCCCCAGCACCCGCTCATCCTCCCGGTTGACAAATTCGTCAGGCATGGTTGAAGATTACGCGGGTTGATGATGCGAAGGGGATTGACAGAACAGATCGCAAAAGGTGGCTAAGAGGCTGGAGTGATGAATGACAACTGTAATCGAGACTTGGTGAGAGAACGCGAGGAATGAGAGTTTTTTGGAGACTTTGTAAGGAGGCGAATGTATTCTAGTTCCACGAGGTCTCAGGGAGTGAGACGAGAGCTAACGGAAACGAACCTGATGGAAGCTGGTCCAGAAACAAGCGCACCGGGACGGGAGTCGGCAAGGTTCAGAAATCTCAGGAATCAGCTCCTGCGAAAGGGAAGAACCGTTTTGCCCGTTCGCCTTCCCTGCGAAAACACCGTATTTGTTTCGCTGGGCGTCGAGACACACAAGTGGTTGGCAGCAACCCAACTGCGCTTCTGAACTTCAGCGCGCCAGTCATCACTCCAACAGATCATACACACGATGCCCGGTTGAGCCCCCCGACCTCGCCTTACCCTCTGGGCTTATAAGCGATTCTCGCTTCGCTTGAAGATTTCGTCAATTCGCATCGGGCAAAAAGGGCTTATAAAAAACAAATGTAACAACGCTGACTGTTTGACTTTGGTCTCGTCAGTCAAACTTCAGTTTCTGTGGTTCGTATTGGTCGACGTGCTTGTAACGTGGGTGCAACGTCACGGCACAAAACCCACGGGTGCAAGGTTTCCATCCATTAAAAGACAATTTTGCGTGCAGGAAGTGAGCATCGGGTGTACCTCCACTGACAGGCGAGAGTCGTCCGATCAATGCAGTGAATGCCCCTCGATTTGCGCTCCCGGGTATCTAGCCGTGGGACGACCAATCCGAAGACGCCCCGGGTTGCCGGCTCGACCTAAACATACCAACGAAGGGTTACATTCATTCACCTTGGCAGCAGGCGGTAACCAGCAGCGAAATCCCACATGAAGCGAGACAGGCGACACATTCAGGTTCGGAACTCAGATCTGCCGAGCCTCCACTTGGGGTTTTCTGAGCTTGGCTTGGGATCTTTGTTACCCTTTTTCCCCAAAGCCGAGCCAACTTCTGGGCTTCGCGCCAGCTGCTCCGGACCTGAGGTCTGACACGAACCCCGAATCACCACAAGTTGTTCCTGAGTTCGTTTACAGTTCAAGTTTAGGGCGTAACCCTATTTTCAGTCTGTAGCCTTTCTCTGCATGACATGCGTCTTCATTGATGCACCTGATGACACGCCTAGAACTTCAAGAGGTTCGTACTACCCTACGTACAAGGTACGTGAGATCACCTCGTACTGGGTCCTCCATTCCGTTACCCCAATCTGAAAGTTCGCGCACATTCAGTTGCGCGAAAATATAACAGATATTCGGTTTATTCGCATCAATTCGCATCTATTGGGTAACCGCTTGCGGGCCATGTTTGGATTACGATTTTCGTGTGGGTGGGGCTATGAGTCCGCGTGGGTTCCTTTGGCGCTGTGCTGACGCGCTGCGTGTTTTTCACGTCAGAGTGTACACTCGTTTGCTTTCTCGAAGTTACGTAAAATTTATGAATTTCCTCCCAAATGAACTCATGGGACACGCCCTAATCGGCTGATGGACCTAAGGACGCGGTAGAAGTGCTCGATCAGGGGTAGATTGATCCGGTCACCGCACTTAAACCTCGCGTTTTGCATACGAAAGGTACACAACCGTTTACAACCGCGCTAAAAAACGAACCTGAGGCGATCGATTCTCCAATTTTACCGCGTCCTAAGCTTCACTTGCTGCTACTGACTGACTGACTAATCCCGTTGCGCTGTAGGGATGGCGTCATTATGTGTGTCGAATCCATTATCTGCTAACGCAATTTCGCGTACCATCACTGCAGCCTCCCATTCTAGGTCAGCCAATCTGTCATGTCCCTTCTTTGATCGCCGAATCCTACTGGCTCACACGGCGGCATGCCACGTTGGCCATGCAACGTGTGCTATTAATCCAAGACTAGGGTACAGAATAGGAAGCGAATTGGCCCAGCATTTCTCACAGCGCGCCCTCGACAGAAGAGCTGCGACCACCGCGCGATCGCAAGGGGGACGTCGCTACTCGCACCCGAGCTCACGATTCAACTGGCGCTCGCGACGAAAACCAGACGGCGAGGATGCGACGACCGCGCCGGACGACGCGCCAACTGGTCAACGAGCGGCCGCGGAAGGCGGCGAGCCGAGCGGACACAGTCCCGGATGGGGCTCGCCGGTGTGGCAGGCGGACAGCGACGCGGAGGAGGAGGATTCGGCGCGGAGCGGGAAGGCGGCGCGAAAGTCGTCAATCTCGCACATCCTCACTCCCGACGGCAAAGCCTTCAGGTGACCGTTGGTCAATGCGTCGTCGTCACCCTTGTGTGCCGCCTAGCTCTGTTACAACGAGTGGATGCTAACATTCACTTCAGTAATTGCCAACCATGGTGTTTTGTTCTCAAACTTTTGGCGTCAATGCGGGTTGGAAGGTGGATTGGATAGAAGGGGGGGGCGAGGGGTGGGGGAACCACCATGGCAGTCCAGATACGATCTGGATGCGGCCGGGACCGGGCAGAGTTGCTTCGTTTGTCATGATTTGCCTTGCTCTCTCACACACATGTTCAGTCACCCTCGCTCTCTCACGCGCTCTCACGCTCGTTCACTCACACTCTCACGCCTTCAAGCGCATTCCGCAAGGCGAGCCCTCCGTGACACGTGCCTTTCCTCCGCATTCCCCTCCCCCACCGCCCTTTCTCACCGCGCGCACAAGCAAGCCGCATCACATCATTCTGGTGCGACACGGGCAGAGCGAGGCCAATGTGGCGGCATACCAATCCCCCGCATTCCCTTCCCCCACCACCCATCCCCCACCACCCTTCCCTCACCACCCTTCCCCACCACCCTTCCCCCACCGCCCTTCCCCCACCGCCCTTCCCCCACCGCCCTTCCCCCACCGCCCTTCCCCACCCCCCTTCCCCACCACCCTTCCCCACCTGTGCGCACACGAGCAGGCCACATCGGATCATCCTGGTGCGGCATGGGCAGAGCGAGGGCAACGTGGACGAGGCGGCGTACACACGCATCCCCGACTCAAAGATCGCGCTCACTCGCAAGGTAGCCTTGAGATGATACGGCCATGCTGGCCAGGCCAGGCCATGCCGCTTATGTGCCGATTCCCGACTCCAAGGCTGCTCTCACTGGTCCAACTGAGAGCCCTTATTCAAACAAAACACGGCCATCAAACAAGGAACGGTCACTCTCATACAAGAATTAGAGCCGTCGCTGACTCGAAGTGCATGCCGCACTCATGTGGCTCCTCCTGTTTATTTTGCAACGTTATGCCATTTCATGACTCAACTCCCCCTACGCCCAAGGCAGCAGGCACTGTGTCGTGGGTGTGCCGTCCCATCCACACTGCTTGCCTGCTTCTGTGGCTCTAACCGTTGGGGTGCTTGGGAGTGCAGGGGTGGGAGCAGACGGTGGAGAGGAGCAGGAAGATGCGTTTAAAGTCGACTTAAAGCACTCTTTCACTGCCCGCCTGCTTGCTACTCTCCGTGGGCTGCTTGAATTGAATCGTACTGGCAGGGGTGGGAGCAGGCGGTGGAGAGGGGGAGGAAGCTGCGCGAGCTGATAGAGGCGGATGGGGAGGAGGACTTCAAGGTCTACTTCTACGTCTCGCCCTACACGCGCACTCTGCAGGTACTTCTCCTCTCGCCCCACCAATGTCAGACCAAGGCCTTCAAATCAAGCTGTGTGACTGCATTGTGCGGGATTGTGTGGCATTGTGTGGAATTATGCAGGATTGTGTGCGAGTGTGTGGGATTGTGTGGCATTGTGTGTGTGGCATTGTGTGGAATTATGCAGGATTGTGTGCGAGTGTGTGGGATTGTGTGGCATTGTGTGTGTGGCATTGTGTGTGAGGCATTGTGTGGCATATTTACCATTGTTTCCAAGTCATCCTATCGGCTTTGTTCATGGTGCTTGACGTCACCTTCCTTTGCCCCACCTACCCCTGCCCTGCCTACCATCTTCGCCTTCCACTGCCTCCTCTCGTTCTCTCGTCCCATCTTCTTCTCTCCTGCTCATTCATTGATAAACCCACGCTCTAGGAGGCGTGGGCTAGGCGTCTGAGAGAAAATGGCAGGCATCGAGGAGTCCTTTTCCTCTTCCTCGCATTCTCACCCATGTTTTTCCACCCCGATCCAATACCCTCTCCCGCCCCTGCTGTCACCCTCAGACACTCAGGGGCGTGGGGTTGGCGTTTGAGAGGGAGAGGATAGCGGGTGTGAGGGAGGAGCCCCGCATCCGCGAGCAAGACTTTGGTACGTGCGCCTCCCTCACTGCGTACATGCTCTGCTGCCCATTCCGTCTCCCTTGCTTCCTTTTTCCTACACCTACTCCTTCCCTCCCTCCCTCCCTGCCTCCCCCCCACCCTCCCTCCCTCTCCCCTGTCACCAATCCTTCCTTCACCTGTTTCCACTCTCTCTCCCACCGTCCCTCGCGTCCTCTTCTCTTTCTTCTCTTCATCCACTTATGCGTCGCTCAGGTTCTCCCCATGTTTCCCCTGCCACACTCTGGTCCGCATGCCTGCAGGCAACTTTCAGGACAGGGAGAAGATGAGGAGGGAGAAGAAGGTGCGGCTGAGCTACGGGCGCTTCTTCTACCGCTTCCCCGACGGCGAGTCCGCTGCTGACGTCTACGACCGCGTCACAGGTGCGACTGTGAGAAGCACTGTGAGGCACGAGCGACCATGCCGTGGGTGCACTGTGAGGCACGCAGGTGCGAGGGTGTCGCAGGTGTGTTGTTAAGATCACAGTAAGTGCACACAGGTGCAACCACACTGTTTGACCATTCTCAACTCCCCTTCCCCCACAGTTCCTCCCCTCCCCCAACTCATTCCCCCATTCCCCCATTCCCCCATCCCACCATCCCAGGCTTCCGAGAGACACTAAGAGCGGACATAGACGTGGGGCGGTTTCAGAGGGAGGAGGCAGCAGCGCGCAACATGAACCTTGTGCTGGTGTCGCACGGGCTCACCCTGCGCGTCTTCCTCATGCGGTGGTACAAGTGGACTGTGGAGCAGTTTGAAGGGCTCTACAACTTCCCTAATGCTGGATGCATGATCATGCAACTTGGTCCTGGAGGCAGGTATGCTATGGCAGGTCGAGCAGCTTGGCTCTCAGGGTGTATTGAGCGATGGTGGAGCAGTGTAAGGGCTCCTCAACTCAACTTCCTCATGCGGTGGTACTGGACCGCGGAGCAGTTTGAAGGGCTCTACAACTTCCCCAACGCCGGCTGCATGATCATGCAGCTGGGGCCGGGGGGCAGGTACGCTATGGCCTTCATTTTTTGAGGACTGAGTGATGGCTTGTTGTATGAGCTTCGGATGTGCTGGTATATATGGCTGGTCCAGCACTGTAAGAGCTCCTCAGCTTACTCGTGTGTAAGAGCTCCTCAGCTTACTCGTGTGTAAGAGCTCCTCAGCTTACTCGTGTGTAAGAGCTCCTCAGCTTACTCGTGTGTAAGAGCTCCTCAGCTTACTCGTGTGTAAGAGCTCCTCAGCTTACTAGTGTGTAAGAGCTCCTCAGCTTACTCGTGTGTAAGGGCTCCTCAGCTTACTCGTGTGTAAGGGCTCCTCAGCTTACTCGTGTGTAAGAGCTCCTCAGCTTACTCGTGTGTAAGAGCTCCTCAGCTTACTCGTGTGTAAGAGCTCCTCAGCTTACTCGTGTGTAAGAGCTCCTCAGCTTACTCGTGTGTAAGAGCTCCTCAGCTTACTCGTGTGTAAGAGCTCCTCAGCTTACTCGTGTGTAAGAGCTCCTCAGCTTACTCGTGTGTAAGAGCTCCTCAGCTTACTCGTGTGTAAGGGCTCCTCAGCTTACTCGTGTGTAAGGGCTCCTCAGCTTACTCGTGTGTAAGAGCTCCTCAGCTTACTCGTGTGTAAGAGCTCCTCAGCTTACTCGTGTGTAAGAGCTCCTCAGCTTACTCGTGTGTAAGAGCTCCTCAGCTTACTCGTGTGTAAGAGCTCCTCAGCTTACTCGTGTGTAAGAGCTCCTCAGCTTACTCGTGTGTAAGAGCTCCTCAGCTTACTCGTGTGTAAGAGCTCCTCAGCTTACTCGTGTGTAAGGGCTCCTCAGCTTACTCGTGTGTAAGGGCTCCTCAGCTTACTCGTGTGTAAGTGCTCCTCAGCTTACTCGTGTGTAAGAGCTCCTCAGCTTACTCGTGTGTAAGGGCTCCTCAGCTTACTCGTGTGTAAGGGCTCCTCAGCTTACTCGTGTGTAAGGGCTCCTCAGCTTACTCGTGTGTAAGGGCTCCTCAGCTTACTCGTGTGTAAGGGCTCCTCAGCTTACTCGTGTGTAAGGGCTCCTCAGCTTACTCGTGTGTAAGGGCTCCTCAGCTTACTCGTGTGTAAGGGCTCCTCAGCTTACTCGTGTGTAAGGGCTCCTCAGCTTACTCGTGTGTAAGTGCTCCTCAGCTTACTCGTGTGTAAGGGCTCCTCAGCTTACTCGTGTGTAAGTGCTCCTCAGCTTACTCGTGTGTAAGGGCTCCTCAGCTTACTCGTGTGTAAGGGCTCCTCAGCTTACTCGTGTGTAAGGGCTCCTCAGCTTACTCGTGTGTAAGGGCTCCTCAGCTTACTCGTGTGTAAGGGCTCCTCAGCTTACTCGTGTGTAAGGGCTCCTCAGCTTACTCGTGTGTAAGGGCTCCTCAGCTTACTCGTGCGTAAGTGCTCCTCAGCTTACTCGTGTGTAAGGGCTCCTCAGCTTACTCATGCGTAAGTGCTCCTCAGCTTACTCGTGTGTAAGGGCTCCTCAGCTTACTCATGCGTAAGTGCTCCTCAGCTTACTCATGCGTAAGTGCTCCTCAGCTTACTCATGTGTAAGTGCTCCTCAGCTTACTCATGTGTAAGGGCTCCTCAGCTTACTCATGCGTAAGTGCTCCTCAGCTTTCTCAGCTTCCTCATGCGGTGGTACAAGCGGATAGTGGAGCAGTTCGAGGGGCTCTACAACTTCCCCAATGCCGGCTGCATGATCGTGCAGCTCGGCCCGGGGGCAGGTATGCTGAGTTTTGGTAGTTGAGTGTTGAATAGCCCAGGTGGCACGCTGTGTGCGCTGAGGTGTCAGTGGCCCGTGGGGCAATTTGAAGGGCTCTACAACTTCCCCAACGCCGGCTGCATGATCATGCAGCTGGGGCCGGGGGGCAGACAAGCTGAGTTACGTTGTGTGTGCTGAGATGTGTGCAGTTTGGGCTCTACAACGTTGGCCTTCCAGCTTTCTTTTGCATACACCTTGCAGTCTCTTCTCCCCTCATCTTCCCCATCCCCTCCCACCCATCTCTTATGCTACCCCAATCACTTACCCATCCACATCCCCTCACAGGTATAGCTTGCGTATGCACCACAGCAGGGAGGAGCTGAGGGCGTTTGGGATGACAGAGAGCATGATCGACGACCAGGAGTGGTGAGGCTCATATTCTTTGAGTGGACCCGTTGGTTGTTTTATTAGTCTAATCGGGCCTCATGTTCTAAGGGGATGACAGCGAGCATGATCAGGAATCAGGAGTGCTGTGCTCATGTTCCCTACACCAGCACACCTGCACAACATTCCCTGTGGATCCACTCTCGGACCTCTGCAAGCGTACCAGCACGCTCTGATGGACGTTGGGCGGCGCATCCCTTGTGCTTGCTTTGGAATTGGTTGTCTTTTCCAAGAGCTGCTTTCCCCAGCCCGGAGGACCAGTAATATTTTTCATCGCTGCCCAAACACAACTATATCAGGCACACCTCTCAGATGCCCATTCCATTGTCTGCCATCCCACCAGGGAAGTTACAGCCAAGCCGGGGATTCGAACCCTTGCTGGCTGGCATCAGGATGAGAGCGAGGAGTGCAGGATCCAACGCAGTTCTCTGATGCTTCCTGGCTCCCCATTCTATTGCCTGCCACGATCCATCCCACCAGACAAATCACGGCCAAGCCAGGGGACTTGAACCTGTGCTGGCTGACACCAGGGGTGGGTCATTGATACTTCTATACTCCCCATTCTGTTGCATCCCACCAGGCAAATCACGGCCAAGCCAGGGGACTTGAATCCGTGCTGGCTGACATCAGGGGCGGGGTTCTTTGACCACTTTGATGAGAACGAGGAGTGTGGCATCCAGCGGAATTACATGTGCAAAGGGATTTCGGAATTATGCGAGGAGGAATTTGGCGAGGGTGTATATCGCAATCATTGATTGACATATTTCAGGGGTGAGTGAGTCTCTGTGGTGAAGCAAGCAGATATTGGGAGTTTTTTTTATATTCGCTGGAAACTGTCTATGCCTACAATAGCGCAAGCTATGAGTTATGGTACGAATTTGGTGCCAGGGGCAAGGAGTGTAGGTTAGTATGGTATTTCTTGTCCACATACTGAGTGTACATAGATTCACCAGATTTGCCCCGATAGTGCAATCCGTGTTCGTTGTATATCCATTGTATGATTGCACAATTTATCCGCCACCAATTCTATCTTATCTTAGATGGGGATTCTAGTGTCAATAGTTGCAGCTTGTGTAGTAATAAGGGGTGAGCTCGCAATGCGTAATTTTTGGTTGGTTGGCGCGACAGGCGCAGTCGCAGGGAGGTGGTCTTGGTCAACCCAGCCATCACATGCCATCTGTCAGCAGCGATGGATCACCGACGTGTTGGACCGACTGTCACGATTTCGCTCACGTCCACTGAACCTCCAAGAACAACGTGCGTGCCTCACCCGACAGCTGGTAACATCTTTCTTCGCATCCTTTCGTTGTCATTTCCTAATGCCAAATATGCATCGCACTCGCCACAAGCTTTGATCGCAGCATGTCGGTGGACGAAAGCGCGACACGGTGATCGAGAGGAGATTTTGCCCCGATGATGTCGAGACGAGAGGGATCTCGATTCTCGAATCTCGAGATGGGTGGGTATCACGCGCATGAAATGTGAGGGTGGGGTGGAATGGGAGGTTCGCTGCTGTTTCTGTATTGCGTGTTGCCTGCCCCTCTCATCTCCTCGAACTTGTGCAGCACGCGCATCGAGAAGAGTATGCACAACGTTCTGCGCAGCGAGTAGTATGATGGCTTGAACCAACCATGGCTGCCGCATTGCCGCATCAATGTGGAGAGGTCGATAACAGCCACGCCGACCAACGCAGTGATGCATACGCCTCTAGTTTGAGAGAAAAAAGAATCAGCAGCGTTAGGCTCGTAACTGCAGTCGAGCAAATGTGTAGCTGACTCAAAAAGCGTGTCAGATAATATCGCCTGACACGGGCCGCATGGTCCATTGAGGGCATGTACGGCCTGCACCGCATCGAGTCCGCCATCCGCCATCGTAGGAAGTCACATCTCACAACGCCTCGCATGCACCTTTTCAAGCCATTATACAGCTCTCACAATTACACAGCCTACGCGGTACCGCTTGCACTGCCGAGCTATCAATTACTCTTTCCACAGCACGAAGTCGCTGTGAGTCGCACAGCCTCGCAGACGAAACGGAAACTCGCGGAAGAATTCTCACCGCCGCCAGGCGCGCAGATTGCCGCCTGGCCTCGCTCTCCCCGCCGCACTCGTTCCGCTTCTCATCCCCGCGCCGGCCATGGCGTCGACGGCCTTCCCCTCGCTCTCCTCCACTGTAGCCCCGCCGCCCTCAGCCCTCTGGTCCGCCAAACTCTCCGTGAGTCCCCCCAGCCTTTCCTCATCAGCGCGCTTGCGCCGCTTTCCCCATCTCTGCGCGCTCATACGCGGAGGCCGCCGCAGCTTTTGCCGTCGCTCATCGCATCATCTTTTCCTCTTCCGCCCTACCTCGTCCGACCGAACCCCGCGTTGACGCTAATCGTCTCTAACTCCAATCTGCCGAAACCCCCACTTTTGCCTTTCCCCCAGGCGCCGTACCCGACGAACGCGCCGTGGCAAAACTTCGTGTTGGGCCAGGGTGGCAGCCCGGAGCTCGTGAGCCCGTACGTCGTGCAGAGCGGCGACGGGCGCGTCGCGTGGGGGATACCAGTGCGCAACGCGCAGCCGGCATACATCATCCAGGCGTTCATCACCAACCTCATGCTCTCCACGCTGCAAGGCCTTCCGCCGCACCAGGTCTCCGCCTACGACGATCTCTCCGTTACCCTCTCCTTCCGCCAGCCCTCCGCCGCGCCCTCCTCGCCCCCCGCGCTCGTGGTTCCGCTGGTGCGCGGGTCCCCCTATTTGACTTTCATATTCCCCCAGGGCGGGCCCCCCGCGACGCCCGTGCTCAAGACGATCCACGCGATTCTGAGCGTAGAGGCGCGCGGCGACAGCAAGTACCGCGTCGCGCTCAACAACGGTCAGGTGAGATCACCGCGCTTGTTGTGCGCCTCTCTGCGCGCATCTGCCGTGCCGCAACTGGCGCTCTTCCCCCCGGTTGTGCGACCAATCTGGCCGTATCCCATTTCGTTTGTTTTCGCCCATCAATCGTCCTTGCTGTCTACCCCTCCGCTTGCTTGCAACACCCATTTAATCCTTCGAACCCAAGAGAATTCCGCATTCACCGCGTTCTGACCACGCCGCACCTCCTCCCCGGCTGGCAGACGTGGTTGGTGTACCTGTCGTCGCCGCTGGCGCTTCGGCAGGATGGATCGTCGATCGTGGCGGGCGCGCCCTTCACGGGAACGATGCGCATCGCGCTGCTGCCGGGGAAATCCCCACAGCGCGAGGAGGCGCTGCTCGACGCGCACGTGGCGACGGTGCCGGTGGGCGGGCGCGCGCGGGTGGGCGCGTTCCGCATCAAGTTAAGCTGGCGCACGCAGCAGTGGCGCAAGCTGGCTCCCGGCGACTCCAAGACGCCACTTCTCATGCTGTCGCTGCCAGGTCAGTTGCGCGGTTTGCCTTGTGTGCTGCCACGTGTACTGCCGTGTGTGCTCCCACGTGTACTGCCATGTGTGCTGCCACGTGTACTGCTGTGCGTGCTGACCACCTGTGCCGCTATTGGTTTGGAATACCATCACAAATCTCGTCATGCTGCCGCCAGCTGTTGTTTTCTCATCACCCTCATCATCATAGAAACGCAAGGCCAGATTCCACGCTCATCCACGCTGTTGTTGGTCTCTCACAATTATGCGCCCTGCCAATTCGCATGAGGAATGAATAAGGTTATCTGCGCTGAACTGATGTTTTTGAAGCAAACAGTGCGGAATCATTGTCCTTCCGTCTGCATCGTCGGTACATACCAAGGTAGTAGCACCCCTCTCCCTTTCCCCCCCCTCCCCCATGCGCAGTGCACCGGCGCCTGCGAGTGTTTGCGCACAACCCCACCCCAGCCACCGCCCTCCGCCGCCACCGCAGCCTCTCCCCTTCTGATGACGGCACGGCCGCCATGCGCGTCTCCGCTGACCCCGCGCCGGCCGGCCTCTCCTCCACGCGCGCTGACGGCGGGTGGGGCGATTCGGGGTGGGACTCGGACAGTAGCAGCGGCAGCAGCAGCGGCAGCGAAACGGGATCCATTTCTATTTCAACTGGAAGTTCCGGCGCAAGCGACCCGGCCGCGTCGAACCAGGCAGCCATGGCATGGACATCCGCGTCGTCGTCAGCGTCACAGGCGGCGCAAGATACGGTGCTGTCATACCCCACCATCGACGGACGTGCAATAGGCGTGAAAGGCGCCATGTGGGAACTCAAAGTGCCTAAGAGGCCCACGACGTGGCACTCTCCCAAACTCTCGTCCGACCCGCAGTTGACGGACGCGCTACGGGCGAGTCTGAAGCAGGACGTCGCGGCGCTGCCACCGCTCACCACGGCCTCGACGTACTTCTTCGGCAAGGCCGCGGCGCGCGCGGCGCGCCTCGCGCTGATCGCGGAGCAGGTGCACGACGACGGCAGCCTCGCCGCGGTCCTTCCGCCGCTGCGCGCCGCGCTGACCGCCTGGCTGGATGGAACCTTCCCCGGAAACCGCCTGCTGTACGATCCCACGTGGGGCGGCGTGGTTAGCGAAGCCGGGTCGCGCGACAAGGGCGCGGATTTCGGCCTAGGCATGTACAACGACCATCACTTCCACTACGGCTACTTCGTCTACGCAGCCGCGACCGTCGCGAAATTCGATCCGATGTGGGGTAACCGGTATCGCGCGCAGCTCGCGGCGCTCGTCGCGGACTACATGTCGGTGAACCGAACCGCGGCGTTCCCAAGGCTGCGCCATTTCGACGCGTACGCGCTGCACTCATGGGCGAGCGGGATATTCGACTTTGCAGACGGGCGCAACCAGGAGAGCTTCAGCGAAGCCGCGAACGCCTACTACGCCGCGTCGCTCCTCGCGTTCACCTTCGGCGACCTCCCATTGGCCACGCTCGGCGCCACGCTGGCAGCAGTGGAGGCCGTCGCGGGGCAGACGCTCATGCAGGTGCCGGTAAAGGGAAGCTCCGCGTCCCCCGCGCCGTCGCTGTCGCCCGCGTACGAGCCGGTATTCGCGGACGCGAATCGCATGCTGGGCATGGTGTGGTCCACGAAGCGCGATGCGGGACTGTGGTTCGCGACGCCTGCTGAGCTGGACAAGCGCGTGGGCATCCAGGTGCTGCCCATCACGCCCTTCCTCGCGCACCTCTTCCCGGATCGCGCGTACGCGCGGCAGCTGGTGGAATGGGCGCAGCCGGTGCTGAGCGGGAGCGGAGTGACGGACGAGTGGCGGGGCTTCGCGTGGGCGCTGCAGGCGCTGTATGATCCCCAGGGGGCGCGGAGTCGAATCGGCGCGCTGAGCGCTTTTGACGACGGCAATTCCAAGACGAACATGCTCTGGTGGCTCGCTTCCAACACGCCGTAGCTTCGTTGGAGAGATCGAGGCGAATGCTTCTTTATAAACTGCATTGCTGGTTACGCACTGGTTGTGGGATGGCTTTCTCAATCTTATACGCGTATGTACAGCAGTGCTATAGCTATTTATATATCTGCTGTTGCTTCGCCTTTGAGTTGAGGTGCATCGTAACTTCCTTCCCCTCCCTACTAGATGCTGTACTCATCTTGTGAACCAGCGGCCAGCAGAAGCGAGTGAATAAAATTGACTAAGTGTTTTCAAGTACACTATGATGCATCTAGCCTAGCCTGAAGCCTCATTTGTTGTCTGTATCTTCAAGAGACTACTTGAAGATGAGCCAGCAAGTAACCTGTCCCCACTGCCAAGGCAAGCTGGGTACACACTAGAGGTGCATGAGACGCCCACTGCTGGCGCTCCTTGTGCTTGTGGTGTTTAGGCAATGCACCTGTTATTGGTGGCGGTAGTGCTGCTGTTGCTCATGCTGCTGTGCTGCTGACGACGTTGGTGGTGCAAGGGAGATGTGGAATGGCATGGTATGGCAGCAGAGGATAGTGTGCTCTCTCACAGCAAGAGCAACAAGGGATGAGAGCGTGGGGAGGGAGTGGAGTGGCGGTCAGCTGGCAGCCCTGCGAGACAGCAGCATGGAAGTGCCGGCAAAGGAAGCTGTCCCCACTGCCACCGCCACAAGGGCCGACGGCAACCACTCGCTCATCGCCGTGCTCTTGCTGGTGGCGCTGCTGCTGTAGCTGGTGCCGCAGCCAGTGCTGGTGAGGTTGGCAAATGAGAAGGCTGCATGCCAGTATGAGGTGCGTTGAGGCGTTGATGGATGCTGCTGTGCCTCCTGCAGCAGCGTGCAGAGCGACTGAATCTGCACAGGCGAGATGCACGACATGAAAGGAAGGGGGACGAAAGAAAGGAAACAAGGCCTGGTTCAGGCGCAGGGTGTCATGAAGTTCAGTTACAGAGCATACTGCAATATCTCGTTACAGCTGTTACATCCGTGTGAACTCGCTCGTTCCTGGCGAGCACAGCTTACCAATAAGACCCACACAGATGAGCCATCGGCTGCAGCAGATGAGTGTCTTGGCCCAAAAGTCCAAGACGACTTTAGAGGCGCCTCAGAAGTCATCATGCTGCAGTAGACGAGTGCCTTAGCCCAAGAGTCCAAGGCGGGGATGTTTTGATTCTATCACCCTGCCACCGCCGCTCACCTGGCGAGTCACGTGCCGCTGCTGCTTCGCCACAGCACTCACGTCCCTTTGGAGCAGATGAGTGTCTCATGCGGGTGACCAAGACAAGGATATTCTGAATCTACTACACTGCCACAGGCACTGCCGCTCACCTGCTGTCTAAACAAAACAGCCCTCACCTGGCGAGTCATGTGGCGCTGCTGCTCCGCCACGGCACTCACGTCCCTCTGCAGCGCGCTCCCTGCGCCCCCACCCTCCCTCGCACTTCTGTCGCCATCCTGCCCCAGCGGAACAAACACTCCGCCATTCTGCCCCGCGTTGCCACCATTTGAAACCTGTTTCCCCTGTGGACCACCCTCAGCCACTTTGTCCTCATGCCCCTCAGCTCGACTCGCAAGGCTGCAGGCAGGTGGTTTGCTGCTGCCAGTGCTGCGTGCCAGAGCCTGCCCTGCCTGCCCGCCCTGCTCCAAGCGCAGCAGCAGCCGGTCCATCTGCTGTGTGATGCTCGCCAGCTTGCCCTCCACCAACTCGTTGCTCTGCAGCTGCACAGATCGGCAGCACAGCACAGCACCGCACAGCACAGCACAGCACAGCACAGCACAGCACATCACAGCACAGCACATCACAGCACAGCACAGCACAGCACAGCACATCACAGCACAGCACATCACAGCACAGCACAGCACAGCACAGCACAGCACAGCACAGCACAGCACAGCACAGCACAGCACAGCACGGCACGGCACGGCACGGCACGGCACGGCACGGCACGGCACGGCACGGCACAGCACAGCGCAGCGCAGCGCAGCGCAGCACAGCGCAGCACAGCGCAGCACAGCACAGCACAGCACAGCACAGCACAGCACAGCACAGCACAGCACAGCACAGCACAGCACAGAACAGCACAGCGCAGCGCAGCGCAGCGCAGCACAGCACAGCACAGCGCAGCGCAGCACAGCACAGCACAGCACAGCACAGCACAGCACAGCACAGCGCAGCACAGCACAGCACAGCGCAGCACAGCACAGCACAGCACAGCACAGCGCAGCACAGCACAGCACAGCACAGCACAGCACAGCACAGCACAGGGGAACAAGGGGACTTGTGAGTCGACCCAACAGCCGGCCCAACTGCTGTGCGATACTCTCTAGCTTGCCTCTACGGCCTCGTTGCTCTGTAGCTGAACAGAGTAGGAGAGGGTGGGGACAGCACAGCACAGGAGGGGAACGAGGTGGGTTGTGAGCTGATTCAGCAGCAGCCGGTCCATCTGCTGTGCGATGCTCTCTAGCTTGCCCTCCACGGCCTCGTTGCTCTGCAGCTGTGCACTGCGGGAGAGGGCGGATAGCACAGGAGGACTTTTGAGAATTCTCAAAAGCTGTGCACCGCGGGAGAGGGCGGATAGCACAGGAGGACTTTTGAGAATTCTCAAAAGCTGTGCACCGCGGGAGAGGGCGGATAGCACAGGAGGACTTTTGAGAATTCTCAAAAGCTGTGCACCGCGGGAGAGGGCGGATAGCACAGCAGGACGAGGTGGTGAGGGGTGCGGTGGGATGGGCATGGAAAGGAGACGGGCACGAAAAGAGGGGAAGAGGGTGAGAGCGAGAAGTGGAACACAGCAGTGTGTATGCTGCAATGTTGCAGCGCCATGCTGTGACGCTGCGCAGAGAGGCTATGCGGTCACGAGTCAAGAGGCTCCTGGAGGCGTCATTACAGTGAGCTACCGTACCATCTCATAGCAAAACAGCCTCGTACCATCTGAGCAACCGCTGATGCCGACAGCACCACCGCCACTTGCTGCTGCTGCTGCTGCCCCTCCTGCTGCTCCACATTATCCTCATTACCACGCTGCGCTTGATGACCACTCCTGTGAAACGCGCTTCTCCCACCACCACGCTCCGCTGGGCTTGCCTCCACCGCCCGTCCCCGCTGCTCAGCGTGGCTGCCGTCCCCCTCTCCCTGCCACCTGGCGTCCAGCTTGAGCAGCTCCACGGCTGTCGCGGAGCACGCAGAGCGCATGGTGCTGATCTCCGCCTTGGCTAGCGCTGCTGTAGGCGCTGGCATGCTGCCGGGGGTGCAAGTGAGAAGGGGGAATGGAGCAGAGAAGGGGCAAGGCGGTCAGCTCCAGGGCTGTAGAAGAGCAGGCGGAGCAGGCAGAGCGAATGGTGCTGATCTCCGCCTTCGCCAGTGCGGCTGTGGGCGCCGGCATGCTGTGAGTGAGCGCAAGTGGGGGAGGGGGGATCGGAGAGAGGGAGGGAAGGGGGAGAGAGGGGGGAGTACGACAGTAAGCTGCAGGGCAGCGCAGAGCAGGCAGAGCGAATGGTGCTGATCTCCGCCTTGGCTAGGGCGGCCGTGGGCGCCGGCATGCTGTGAGTGCGTGCAGAGGGGAGTAGGGGAAGAGAGGGGGGAGAGACAGGGGCAAAGACGGTATGCGAGAAATAAACGCGAGAAGCAGAGTGACCGCCAGGACGGGTGATGGGAGCGGTTGGGAGAGCGGCAAAGAAACATGGAGAGGATGCATTGTGCTGAAGGCAAAGAAACATGGAGAGGATGCATTGTGCTGAAGGCAAAGAAACATGGAGAGGATGCATTGTGCTGAAGGCAAAGAAACATGGAGAGGATGCATTGTGCTGAAGGCAAAGAAACATGGAGAGGATGCATTGTGCTGAAGGCAAAGAAGATTGAACTGTCCTCTCATGTCTGAGACGATAGAATATGGTTTATATGTCGATTGAGAAATCTGTGTTGGATAAAAAAACACCCAGTAGCAGGCAAACCAGTGTGATTGAGGAAATCTAAGTTGGGCCAAATCGACACATCTGATCACTCATAACGAAAAGCCAGCAACAACACCCAGCAATGGACCGCAATGCACGCACTGACATCCAGCAACGGTGGTGGCAAGGCACACACCTGTCTGGAGACGGGTCTCCCTGTCCCATGGATACAAGGCTCTTGCTGTGAGCAGCGAGGGTAGGGAGGGCAGGGAGGGCAGGGAGGGCAGGGAGGGCAGGGAGGATAGGGAGGGCGGGGAAGGTAGGGAGGGTAAAGAGGTTAGGGAGGATAGGGAAGGCAGGGAAATAGGATAATAGATGTCAGCACGCAGGAAAGCAGCAATGTGAATTGCAGAAGGAGAGGAGACGAGAGGAGGAGACGAGAGGAGGAGACGAGAGGAGGAGACGAGAGGAGGAGCCAAAACAGCCCAGAGTGGAAGCAGGTGGGGAATGGGGTGTGGTGGAGAAGTGAGAGGGTGGAGGGGAACGGGAAGGGCGACGCAGAGAATGAGGCAGCAAATGCACCCGTGACTCCCACAATCGCCCTCTCCTCTACCTGGACTTGTCCCCACTCTCCACGCTTGTCTTGTCTTTTCAAGATGTGGTTTGAGATTTCGCCCCCCTCAACTCCCTCGCTGCCCCTCACCCCCTTCCCTCCCTTTTTGTGTGTCTCACGTTTTGTCGAGCTTGTGGCCACCTGCAGACCAGGAGGAGGAGGAGGCAGCTTCAGCAGAGGAGGAGGCGGTGGGGGAGGCAAAGCGAGGGCCCACAGGCGGGCTGAAGGGCAGAATGTCGTCGGATATGCGCAGGCGCGCCTTGAGCGCGTTGGAGGAGAGGGGGGACGGCTGAGGGCATGGGAGGGAGAGGGGGGAGAGGGTGGAAGAGAGAATGGGGCATGCATGCATGCGGTTGCCTGCCTATGCTGAGGCTGAAGGACAGGATGTTTTCGGGTACGCAGTGGCGAGCCTTGCAGGTGCTAGAGGAGAGGAGGGACGGACGGCTGGCGTGTGGTTGATGGGAAAGCGGAGAGTGGGAAGTGGTTGATGGGAAAGCGGAGAGTGGGAAGTGGTTGAGGAGAAAGCGGAGAGTGGGAAGTGGTTGAGGAGAAAGCGGAGAGTGGGAAGTGGTTGAGGAGAAAGCGGAGAGTGGGAAGTGGTTGAGGAGAAAGCGGAGAGTGGGAAGTGGTTGAGGAGAAAGCGGAGAGTGGGAAGTGGTTGAGGAGAAAGCGGAGAGTGGGAAGTGGTTGAGGAGAAAGCGGAGAGTGGGAAGTGGTTGAGAAGAAAGCGGAGAGTGGGAAGTGGTAGAGGAGAAAGTGGGGCGTGAAGACGAGAATGTGATGCCTGGAACAAGGGAAGGTGGTGGTGGTGAAGCAAGAAGGACGTTGGAAAGAAGGGTGGCCAAGGAACTTGAAAAAGTGGATGAACCGCACAAGAATAGTAAGCACGGATGATGGATGGTGCTGTGCATGATGATTGGTGCACGCCTGCCTACCTGGTTGCTCTGAATCTCCTGCGTGAGGTGGTGCAGTTTAATATCCTCGATATAAGGATGGGAGATGTACCCCCCCTCCCCCTCCATGCCCAGCTGCTCCGCCACCTCCTTCACGCGCTTGCGGTCCTTGCCTATCACCTGCAGGGAAAGGGACACAACACACAACCACAGAATGAACGTCTTCGGCTCGCCAGTTTCAAGCACTTGCGGTCCTTTTCAATCCCCCACAGTAACGTACAGGAAAGCTTAACACGGAAACAGAAAAGAAGCCACTGAGACACTCTCTCACCCTAAACCCAACATTTACAGAGAGCGCAAGCACAGGCTCCTTTCCCCATGCCATTTCGCTACAACTTCCCTCCCTCCCTCCCTCCTCCCACATAGGTAGCTTTGAGCACCTCGATCTTGTCTATCTCCAAAGACAGTGTGGTGTTGTCCTCGCCCTGCTCGCGTTGTAGCCCCTTCCGCAACCTCCCCTTCCCCTTCCCTTCTTCCTCCTCATACCACCTGCACATATGTAGCCTTCAAGCTCCTTGATATTGTCAAGATCACAGACACCGCACTGCTGGCATCGACCTACTTGCCATGTCGGGACTGCTCCCGCAGGACAATCGACTCATGGTGCACGTGTGGGCTATCTCGCGCCATCTGCCACGACAATCTCCCTTCCCCATACCACTCCCCCCTAAACCTCCCTCCCTCACCCTCCCTCCCTCACACTCCCTCCCTCACCCTCCCTCCCTCACACTCCCTCCCTCGCACTCCCTCCCTCACCCTCCCTCCCTCACACTCCCTCCCTCACCCTCCCTCCCTCACCCTCCCTCCCTCACCCTCCCTCCCTCACCCTCCCTCCCTCACCCTCCCTCCCTCACCCTCCCTCCCTCACACTCCCTCCCTCACCCTCCCTCCCTCACCCTCCCTCCCTCACCCTCCCTCCCTCACCCTCCCTCACCCTCCCTCCCTCACCCTCCCTCCCTCACCCTCCCTCCCTCACCCTCCCTCCCTCACCCTCCCTCACCCTCCCTCCCTCACCCTCCCTCACCCTCCCTCCCTCACCCTCCCTCCCTCATCCCACATCTTCCTCTCCCCACCCCTCCTACTCTCCCCCCCTGCCCTCCCTCCCATCTGCACGTAGGTCGCCTTGAGCTGCTCAATCTTGTTGACCTTCATGGAAATAGTGGTGCTGCCCTCGCCCTGTTCGCCCTGTTCGCCCTGTTCGCCCTGTTCGCCCTGTTCCCGCAGCACCATGGACTCGCGGTGAACGATGTGAGCTATCTCGTACCCCAGCGCCATCAGCCCACACAGTCTCCCTCCCCCTCACCTGCACATAAGTGGCTTTGAGCTGCTCAATCTTGTCAATCTTCACGGAAAGCACGCTGCTCGCTTCACCCTGCTCTTTCAGCACGATGGACTCGCGGTGCACGATGTGCGCTATCTCGTACCCCAGCGCCATCAGCCCGCCCAGCAGCCGCACCGAAACGCTGAAGGTGATGCGTGGTGTGATTATAAAGGGGCCGTCCGTTACCCACTCCTGCCAGAGAGAGGGGACGGGGGGACGGGGCGTTCGGGGGAGGGCGAAAGGGAAGGTTTGGTGGGCAATGTGTGCTAGTTCGTATACCGGCAGGCGCCATCAAACCCATGGCAGCCGCACTGGCACGCCGTGACTTTTAAGTCGACTCAAGGTGACTTCTGAGTCAACTCAAAAGTCAATGTGTGCTAGTTCGTATACCAGCGCCATCAAACCCATGGCAGCCACACTGGCACGTCAAAGAAGATGCGCGGTGTGATTATAAAGGGGCCGTCCGTCACCCACTCCTGCCAGAGAGACGGGAGAGATGAAGTGGGGGGAGCATTATGAGGGGACAGGAGGGGGAACGGTTGGGGTTGAATCTGGCAGCAGATGAGCAGTCTTGCATCGTCTAGGAGGGAGGAGAGAGGCGGAAGGAGCGGACAGGGAGGTGAATTTTTAGTCGACACAAAATTCACCTTGGTCAGGGGTTGAAACTGGCAGCAGACGAGCACCCTAGCATCGTCAAGGAGGGAGGGAGGAGAGAGACGGAAGGAGTGGACGGGGAGGTGGGCTGAGTGGGGGATCTAAACGGGTGGGCAAGCAGATCTCGAGGTATGCATATGCACACTGGCGCTGGCATTGGGTGACTACGATGGCAAGGGGTGAGCATGCAGGGCATGTCGTCACTCACTGTGATATGGCTATTAAAAGAGTGACGGACAGGGTTAGGGGAGTGGCATCTTTAAGAGACTGTTTTAAAAATGAGGCTTGCTTGGGAAGGGAGGATGCGGGCACAAGAATGGGACCGTCAAGCGATAATTGATTAAAACAGTCATCCTTTCTTCATGGGTGCAAACAACCTTAATGAGAGTGGTGTAACCTCTAAACACATGAGCAAGTACAGAAAAAAAGTGTCGAGAGTGGGATTTGAACCCACGCCCTTTCGGACTGGAACCTTAATCCAGCGCCTTAGACCAACTCGGCCATCTCGACACATTCACATAGAAAATAGTAACATTGAAACGTGTTGAACACGCAACATGTTCTTCTGTTTTGCCTGCCGCTCAGCATGCCTCATTCCCAACACGCACCTCAAACATAAGCGAGTACCGCCCATCGCGGTTGCGCATGCGCAGGTATGACTGGCACGTGTCCTTGTCCTCCCCGGGCGGCAGCAGGTAGATCTCGTACGTCTCCACCTCCTCCCTCGTGTGCTCGCCTGCCAGCACCCCCCTCACCCGCTCCTCCCACCCCTCGCCCTCTGCTCGCGACTGCACGCTCCCATTCAGAAGCCAGGGGGGGGAGAAAAAGAGAGGAACGGGGGGAGAACGGAGGAGAGAAAGAATGGAAGGAATTAAGCCTTGTGAGAAGGAAATGGGAACACGGAGGACAAGCATGGGTGGAAAAGAGCAGGGGTGTGGGCTTGGACTGGCAGCAGGAGGGCTCAGCAATGGTGCAGGCCAGTCCAGCGGAGGTAGGTGGCGTCCTGGAAGCTGGAGAAGGGTTGAAGTTGACTGTTTAGTCGAAACAGAAGTCACCTGGTTACAATGTAACAGGGCTTGCCTTGAGGAGGTAGGTGGCGTCCTGGAAGCCAGAGAAGGGGTTGAAATTGTTCACCATGCGGATGTGCGCCGTCTTCAGCTCCGGCTCTATGAACGCCTTGTACATTGGGTACACCTGGTGGGTGGTACGCATGCAGGGCGTGCAGGGCAATTCAGGGTGGCACAGGCAACAGTCAAACAATGACTGGCGCCTTCAGCTCCGGCTCTATGAACGCCTAGTACATCGGATACACCTGGGGGGGGGGGAGAGCATGGCATTCAGTGTGGCACGGGCAAGTGTAAAACAAGACAGGTGCACCGGCTCTATGAACGCCTTGTACATCGGATACACCTGCATGCACGGCACGTGCATTCAAGACAGCAGCATGTTCAAACGGCAAAAAAGACTGTTGCGTTGTGCATTGGATCAATAAACACGTTGTACACATGCGCACATGGGGTATGCATTTAGATCGTCAAACGCAATAGGCGAGAGTCGAGACGTAGCCCTAGTAGGTACCCTCTACTGCACTGGCTCAATGAACGCCCTATGCAGCTGGTATGCATGGGCACACCTGAGCACACCTGGGCACACCTGCGCACACCTGGGCACACCTGGGCACACCTGGGCACAGGCAGCACACAACGAAGCAGCAACTGGCTCTCATTGCTCAACGCCTGAGGCGCTCAGGCGCCCCCTTCAACACTCTCCTTCCACGCAACCCAACTCTGTCACCTGGCCCACCCCACTCTGTCACCTGGCCCACCCCACTCTGTCACCTGGCCCACCCCACTCTGTCACCTGGCCCCACCCAACTCTGTCACCTGGCCCACCCCACTCTGCACCACTGGCCCACCGTTTCAGAGATCTATTGAATGATGCTTTCAGGAGCCTGTCCAGAGCGGTCAATGTCGCGCAGCACACGCTTGACGAGGTCCAAGTGCACCCCGCCCAAGATGGCCACCCGCAGGTTCAACAGTGGGGTTACTGTGTGCTGCCAACCCACCATCTCCGAGGCCTGCTGGATGATGCTTTGAGGCTTCTGGTCCCACCCTCCACCCCTGGTTCCCTTTACAAACGCCCACTCTGCACCCACCGTCTCTGAGATCCGTTGAATGATGATTTCAAGTGCCTGTCCAGACCGATCAATGTCGCGCAGCACGTGTTTGACGAGGTCAAAGTGCACACCCCCCGAGATGGCCACGCGAAGGTCCAGCAGCGCTGCCCCTTTGTGCTGCCAACCCACCAACTCAGAGGCCTGCTGGATGGTGCTTTCAGGCGCCTGAACCACCCCTACCCCACTCCCCTCCTCCCTCTTCCCTCAACCCGCCCGCCACACCTGCACGATTGACTCACCGTTTCAGAGATCTGCTGGATGATGCTTTCAGGCGCCTGCCCCGAGCGGTCAATGTCGCGCAGTACCCGTTTGACGAGGTCGAAGTGCACCCCGCCCGTGATGGCCACACGCAGGTCCAACAGCGGCCGCACGCGCTCATTGAGCGCATGAATGCCTTCCAGGATGATCACTCGCGACTTGGGGACTGCTTGCTCCCTGGGGGGGTGGGATGTCATGGCAATGGCACCAGATTTGCGCGAAGTAGACTGTCCTCTTTCTATCGAAATCAGCCAAATTTTCACATGCATTGAGCTTGGCCTGCGTGACACGAGCGTGAAACTTGGCGTCTGTTTTGACGCGACTTCCCTCACACTCTCGAAGGAGACGAGAACAGAGCGCGCGCACCTGAAGCCAACGCGCTGGCTGGACTTGAAGTCGTAGATGGGCACCTGCACCGCCTCGCCTCGCCGCAGCCCCTCGATGTTCTCCAGCAGCAGCTCGTAGTCCGTGATGCGCGGATCTGCAGAGTGGTTCGATGCGGTTAGATGGATTTTGACGCGTTTCAGCGCATTACATTGCAATTTTATGCGTTTCACACATGCTCCACCTATGGCAGCGAGTCTTGGAAAGAACTGCAGGAAAGCACTCGACAATGAACTGCACTTCATTTCACGTCACCCCACAAAAAATGGATAAGCCTGAGGAGCATCGGAGAGGGCAACGAACCGTCGAATATGCCGTGAAGCGACGTTGCAATCGCTCATGGAGACGACAACGACATTTTGAAACGTCTCAAAAGTCACGGGAGAGGGGTGAGTGAGTGACTGACCGTCAAAGTTGCCGTCGATGACGCGCGAGGCGACGTTGTAGTGGTCCATGGAGAGCACGGCGATGTTTTTATGTCTAGAAGCTACCGGCGATGGCTGACTGACCGTCAAAGTTGCCGTCGATGACGCGCGAGGCGACGTTGTAGTGGTCCATGGAGAGCACGGCGATGGAGGGCATGAAGCCCGCCACCTTGTGCGTGAACGCCGTCTTCCCCGCGCCCGACGGCCCCGCCAGCCCCACCAGAATCACGCCCGCGTTGTTCTGCGCTCCGCGCCCGGTCATGCGCGCGGGGACACAGCGTCAGACGGCGGAAAAGTGGGACGGAGTTGGTTTGCCTTTGAAGCCGAATGTAGGAAGTGATTTAAATGGACAATGAAGCAGAATGTCAATGATGCATTGGCATTTAAGCTTAATGTCTTATTCAAGCGGACTACACATTCGCATTGTAGCCGAATGTTAGACAGCGACTGAGCGTCAAAAGCCATTGCAACGGGTTGTGAGAGAGCTATTCAAGCGGATGCCACATCCTACACCAATGTGATAGTTGCTAATTTAACGCAATATATACGTATATAAATCTATATAAATTCATGTAAAAGGCAGAAGCAGCAGGCAGCCCCACCTGTGTGAGGAGCTGCACGGCGCGGATGAAGAGGAAGAAGCCTTTTTCGAACGATAGCTGCTCCTCCACCGGAGCTATCTCCTTGCGCGCCTTGCCGTCCGGCATCACGCGCCGCACCAGCCGCAGTTGGTTCTTCAGCAATCCGGGCCGTCGCGAGCTCGGCTTTTCGCCGTACTCCGTGAATGAATTTCCCTTGGACGGCATGATTGAAACGCTTGCAATAAAAACTATTAGGTGCGTTATAGAACGTTAATTAGAGACACTGGTAAGGAATAATTGGATGGGAAATTTGATGTGAAGAGGCCGCTAATTTGTAGCGGTTAGAATCTTGGAGTTAGCGACCGCGTCCGACGAGAATTAGGAATGAACATAAAGATGCTCTCGTTTTAGGGAACGGATTGCATTAGAGCACAGAAACACAGAGGCACTTTATAAAATGCTGACTCGCTCCATGCGCTAAAGCAAGCCCAACGGAAGAAGGGACAAAATGCCCGAGGAACGCTCTTGCAGCTAAGTGGGCTGCACACATAGAAAGGCTATGGCTAGTGCTTCAGCCAAGAGAGCACTGTATTTTGACATGCCTCCATACCAGCCACAGGAGTGCAATACTTGTGATTGTCCTGCCTTTCTCGCTGCTGGATGGTTTTCTGTGAGCAACTCCCAATCCCAAGGGTGGTGCAGTGCAGGCTGTCTGTCATACGGGGCTTTCTTTGTCTGTGTGGATTGAACGAGGCTCTGACTGACTTCTCATTGGCTCCGCCGACAAAGCGGGCAGTGAAGCAGGAGGAGATCCTGAGGTTCAATTGGGTGGTTTGTCTGTCCTGCTGAAGCGGGCAGGTGTGAAAGCGTTCACAGGCACATTCACTTCGCGTGGCGGGTAAGATATTTGATGTGGTCCAGGCTTATGGGTCATGACAATTGCTGACTTGGAATATTCTCTGTAGAGACACTCAAAACTGTTTAGCAGCAGCACAGAATGTTTTCGAACAAAGCCAGGTCCGTAAATTCAGCAAATACAGAACACATTTGTATGAACTTTTTGGGGTTCGCAAAAACCCATGCTGATCCCAACAGCAATCACAAAGACCCATGCTGGTATCATGTGGCACACGCAGAGCACCCAGCAACGCCCCATCCCATGATTCCCAGCCTCCCATTCATCCATCCATGGATGGATCGGATTTTGCAGTGAGTCCACCCATACGCGCCACCCAACCCCCATGACCCTCCACACCGGCGTCCAATCCACCAACCTTCCTCCCACCCTTCCTCAACCACTCCATCCCTCGCACGCTTCTGAAACTTTTCCCATCCCTCCAAATCCTATCATTCATTTAGGATCCAAGTTTCATCTGCTCTTGGTCATCCGCAGCCGAACAGGAATTTATTCGCCCTGATTGATTGTAGTGACTTGTCTCTCCTTGTCCTGTAGATTATTTGCGTCGCCTTTTAGACCGTGAACATGTCTGCGGAGGAGGATAAGATCGAAAATCCCGCTCACCAGGAGGAGGATGACGATGCTCCCAAGGCCGACGACGAGGACACGGGAGCGCACATCGCTCCCATTGTGAAGTTGGAGGAGGTCGCCGTGTCGACCGGTGAAGAGAACGAGAATGTCCTCTTTGAGATGTAAGCTGTTAGCTACGCAGGATATTTTTTCGACTAGCAAGAGGTTTGATTACGTAACGGAACGTGCTCGTGGGCACCTGATTCGAACACAGTGCTCTAGCATGACAGTACCGCTGGTTAGGTGTCTGCGAGTCTTCTTTTATTGGGCTCGAAGCTACCTGCTGTATACTGAACCCGTAACAACCCTAATTGCGAAACGCAATTTACAAATACGAAATCCGTTCCCGTACGCCGTTTACATACTTGAAAATTCTTGTGTGCCGCTCACATACCCGAGATCCTATCAATCCTTCAGGTCCTCGCAGTTTCTAAGAGCAGGATCATGAACCCTTTTCTCTGTTCGATGTGGCGTGGTTATGTTTTCCAGAAAATCCAAGCTATATCGGTTTGATAAGGAGGGGAACCAATGGAAAGAGCGGGGTGTGGGCCAAGTAAAGCTTCTGGAGCACAAGGATACGAAGAAGGTTCGGCTGCTGATGCGACAGCAGAAAACGCTGAAGATTTGCGCCAACCACATAGGTAGGGCAACTGAATTGAATTCACACCTTCATCGTTCACTAACCGGTGCCATTGTTTCCATGAATCATCGCTCTGCACTCATTCCTTGCCTCAGAATACCGCTTCTATGTCGGAGCGAGCGTTAGTGTTTTCTCTGTCTTTGATCAATTATTGTTATTCTGTTTCCAGGATTAGTTTCGCACTCCGTGCTGCGATCAACCTCTTACGAAATAACTGGCTTCTTCATTTAATCTCCCCGTGTATCGTGCTTTCTTTTCCCTGCAGTGCTACCGTCGATGTCGCTTCAGGAGCATGCAGGGAGCGACAAGTCATGGGTGTGGCACGCACAGGACTTTGCGGACGGAGAGCTGAAGAAGGAGCTATTCACCATGCGATTCGGCTCGCCAGAAAGTGAGTGCTGCCCAACCACCTGTTCCATTCTAAGGATTGCCCAATCTCGTCTTTGATTGGTCGACAATTGTTATTATAAGGATATTAGGCATCAGGCGATCTTACCGTCTCGTCGTGCACCTCCACTCTCCAGTCCTGATTTGGATCTCATCCTCACCCGCATCCTCACCCTAATTCCTGGTTACAACGCTCAGCTTCTACTTTTGTGTTTATTTACACTGGCTTCTGCCCAGGTGCTCAAAAGTTCAAGAGTGCATTTGAGGAGGCCCAGGAGAAGATGGCAGCGATTCTGGGCACCACAGATGCAGCCAAGGAGGTGGCAAAGGAGGCGGAGAAAACAGCTGAGGAGCTTGAGAAGCTGGCTGTCAAGAAGGATGAGGAAGCCAGCTGAGTCTAGAGTGATATACTCTTCCCTGTAGAACTCTGCTTCCTAGGGTCAGCTCATTTGAAGTAGTATTCTAGTCCTGTCTTGCTCTTGCCTTGTAGGTTGCGTAAATGTTATACGAGTCAGCATTACAAAATTTTAGCGTCTGGTCGAGTCCGACGTTTTTCATTATATTCTTCAGAAAGGGGACTTACAGACCACGTAAAACTGCAGCCGAACTGGGCCCTTGGGACAATTGCCGAACGAATTCGTTTTATCGCGGACAGCTCCAGTGCTGGAAGGGCTCACCGCCTAGCCTGACCTGCCACGCGACACCTTGCGAACAACGACACGCAGCTCGAATGGTGAGGGAATGCTTCACGTAGCAGAAGTGGAGTTCGGCTTGGAGTTCGTGAAACGAGACAACTGTTGCCTGACAACTGTCCACGCGTGAGAAGTGAATAACCTGACGTCGCCCTAAATGATGTGCACGACCAACAGCGCGACTTGATCGCCTTTGCTCGTCCCGTCTCCCGTCAGCCGTGGCCTCGAAGCTCCACATTTAAGATTTCTCAAACGTCTCCATGAGAACACTCCAGATTCCTCTCCCACTCGCGCGAACGTCGCGCTCGCCACTCCATTCCATCCCGCCGATCCTTCTCCGCGCGCTCCTTATTCACTGCGTCTTCTGGTTGCTACTCACCGCTAGTTCTACGCCTATCGAGGGAACGTCGCTCCACGGCAGCTCAGACTGCGGGCTCGCCGACAGCAGAAACACGGCTGCCGCGGCTGGTCAGGATCCTCACAGCCAATCCGATCTCAAGAATTTAGGGAATCCCGACAGTTACTCCAACACCGAGAATTCCGGAACCTGCGCGGCGGGTCCCGCCATGTCCAATCCCGTAGCTGGCACGCAAATTGCAGGTTCAACGGCGATCGCGTCCGCGTTAAAGGACGTTTCGGTAGAACGTATAGTGGGGCCTGGAAATGACGAGGTGGTGAAAATAGGGTCCTTCTGGGAGTCGCAGGTGAGAAATGGCTGCCCCGCCGGTTGAGTGCGGCGTGTTTGTCGGGTTCATTGCAACAAAACACATGCTTTCTTTTTTGTCCGTAACACTAGACTCTCCTCTCCTGCGTACTCCTTATATTCCGCTCTTAACGACAATTCCGTTGTCTGTTCAATCCTCCTTTCCCCCTTTCCTCATTCCTCTCCATTCCCGTCTCTCCTCGCTCATCCTGTTTCTTCCTGCCTTGCCCTCATCCCTTCCCATCCCCTTTCCCTAAAGAATCTGTGCTTTCCCTCTCCCCCCTCTCCCGAATTCCCCTCTTCCCCTCCCCTTCCTTTACAATCTCCTCCCCTTCCTTCCCGCTCCCCATTCCCTCCCCTTTCCGCCTTTTTCCTTTCCCTCCCAGCCCGTGGTGATTCATTTCCTCCGCCGATTCGGCTGTCGCATCTGCAGGGGGGGCGCCAGGGACATGTCGCGCGCCATCCCGCACCTGCACAACGCGGGCGTGCGGGTCGTCGCCATTGGTGGGTGGGATGGGTGGTGTGGTGGGTGCCTCGGGTGGGTGGTGGGTGCCTCGGGTGGTGTGGTGGGTGCCTCGGGTGGGTGGTCAGCGGGTGGGGAGGTGGGAGGGTGTCATAAGCGGGGCGCCATGGGCATGGCGTGTGCCATCCCTCACCTGCAAAACACGGGCGTGCGGGTCGATTTTTGAGTCGACTCAAAAATAGGCACAACACGGGTGTGCAGGTTGTCATGGGATGGGAGGGTGCCCTCGGGTCTTGGGTGTGCATAGTGGGGAGCGGGTAGCACGGGCCAGCTGCTCGTGGGGCGCCATGGGCATGTTCGTGGATGGGCGCCATGGGCATGTTCGTGGATGGGCGCCATGGGCATGTTCGTGGATGGGCGCCATGGGCATGTTCGTGGATGGGCGCCATGGGCATGTTCGTGGATGGGCGCCATGGGCATGTTCGTGGATGGGCGCCATGGGCATGTTCGTGGATGGGCGCCATGGGCATGTTCGTGGATGGGCGCCATGGGCATGTTCGTGGATGGGCGCCATGGGCATGTTCGTGGATGGGCGCCATGGGCATGTTCGTGGATGGGCGCCATGGGCATGTTCGTGGATGGGCGCCATGGGCATGTTCGTGGATGGGCGCCATGGGCATGTTCGTGGATGGGCGCCATGGGCATGTTCGTGGATGGGCGCCATGGGCATGTTCGTGGATGGGCGCCATGGGCATGTTCGTGGATGGGCGCCATGGGCATGTTCGTGGATGGGCGCCATGGGCATGTTCGTGGATGGGCGCCATGGGCATGTTCGTGGATGGGCGCCATGGGCATGTTCGTGGATGGGCGCCATGGGCATGTTCGTGGATGGGCGCCATGGGCATGTTCGTGGATGGGCGCCATGGGCATGTTCGTGGATGGGCGCCATGGGCATGTTCGTGGATGGGCGCCATGGGCATGTTCGTGGATGGGCGCCATGGGCATGTTCGTGGATGGGCGCCATGGGCATGTTCGTGGATGGGCGCCATGGGCATGTTCGTGGATGGGCGCCATGGGCATGTTCGTGGATGGGCGCCATGGGCATGTTCGTGGATGGGCGCCATGGGCATGTTCGTGGATGGGCGCCATGGGCATGTTCGTGGATGGGCGCCATGGGCATGTTCGTGGATGGGCGCCATGGGCATGTTCGTGGATGGGCGCCATGGGCATGTTCGTGGATGGGCGCCATGGGCATGTTCGTGGATGGGCGCCATGGGCATGTTCGTGGATGGGCGCCATGGGCATGTTCGTGGATGGGCGCCATGGGCATGTTCGTGGATGGGCGCCATGGGCATGTTCGTGGATGGGCGCCATGGGCATGTTCGTGGATGGGCGCCATGGGCATGTTCGTGGATGGGCGCCATGGGCATGTTCGTGGATGGGCGCCATGGGCATGTTCGTGGATGGGCGCCATGGGCATGTTCGTGGATGGGCGCCATGGGCATGTTCGTGGATGGGCGCCATGGGCATGTTCGTGGATGGGCGCCATGGGCATGTTCGTGGATGGGCGCCATGGGCATGTTCGTGGATGGGCGCCATGGGCATGTTCGTGGATGGGCGCCATGGGCATGTTCGTGGATGGGCGCCATGGGCATGTTCGTGGATGGGCGCCATGGGCATGTTCGTGGATGGGCGCCATGGGCATGTTCGTGGATGGGCGCCATGGGCATGTTCGTGGATGGGCGCCATGGGCATGTTCGTGGATGGGCGCCATGGGCATGTTCGTGGATGGGCGCCATGGGCATGTTCGTGGATGGGCGCCATGGGCATGTTCGTGGATGGGCGCCATGGGCATGTTCGTGGATGGGCGCCATGGGCATGTTCGTGGATGGGCGCCATGGGCATGTTCGTGGATGGGCGCCATGGGCATGTTCGTGGATGGGCGCCATGGGCATGTTCGTGGATGGGCGCCATGGGCATGTTCGTGGATGGGCGCCATGGGCATGTTCGTGGATGGGCGCCATGGGCATGTTCGTGGATGGGCGCCATGGGCATGTTCGTGGATGGGCGCCATGGGCATGTTCGTGGATGGGCGCCATGGGCATGTTCGTGGATGGGCGCCATGGGCATGTTCGTGGATGGGCGCCATGGGCATGTTCGTGGATGGGCGCCATGGGCATGTTCGTGGATGGGCGCCATGGGCATGTTCGTGGATGGGCGCCATGGGCATGTTCGTGGATGGGCGCCATGGGCATGTTCGTGGATGGGCGCCATGGGCATGTTCGTGGATGGGCGCCATGGGCATGTTCGTGGATGGGCGCCATGGGCATGTTCGTGGATGGGCGCCATGGGCATGTTCGTGGATGGGCGCCATGGGCATGTTCGTGGATGGGCGCCATGGGCATGTTCGTGGATGGGCGCCATGGGCATGTTCGTGGATGGGCGCCATGGGCATGTTCGTGGATGGGCGCCATGGGCATGTTCGTGGATGGGCGCCATGGGCATGTTCGTGGATGGGCGCCATGGGCATGTTCGTGGATGGGCGCCATGGGCATGTTCGTGGATGGGCGCCATGGGCATGTTCGTGGATGGGCGCCATGGGCATGTTCGTGGATGGGCGCCATGGGCATGTTCGTGGATGGGCGCCATGGGCATGTTCGTGGATGGGCGCCATGGGCATGTTCGTGGATGGGCGCCATGGGCATGTTCGTGGATGGGCGCCATGGGCATGTTCGTGGATGGGCGCCATGGGCATGTTCGTGGATGGGCGCCATGGGCATGTTCGTGGATGGGCGCCATGGGCATGTTCGTGGATGGGCGCCATGGGCATGTTCGTGGATGGGCGCCATGGGCATGTTCGTGGATGGGCGCCATGGGCATGTTCGTGGATGGGCGCCATGGGCATGTTCGTGGATGGGCGCCATGGGCATGTTCGTGGATGGGCGCCATGGGCATGTTCGTGGATGGGCGCCATGGGCATGTTCGTGGATGGGCGCCATGGGCATGTTCGTGGATGGGCGCCATGGGCATGTTCGTGGATGGGCGCCATGGGCATGTTCGTGGATGGGCGCCATGGGCATGTTCGTGGATGGGCGCCATGGGCATGTTCGTGGATGGGCGCCATGGGCATGTTCGTGGATGGGCGCCATGGGCATGTTCGTGGATGGGCGCCATGGGCATGTTCGTGGATGGGCGCCATGGGCATGTTCGTGGATGGGCGCCATGGGCATGTTCGTGGATGGGCGCCATGGGCATGTTCGTGGATGGGCGCCATGGGCATGTTCGTGGATGGGCGCCATGGGCATGTTCGTGGATGGGCGCCATGGGCATGTTCGTGGATGGGCGCCATGGGCATGTTCGTGGATGGGCGCCATGGGCATGTTCGTGGATGGGCGCCATGGGCATGTTCGTGGATGGGCGCCATGGGCATGTTCGTGGATGGGCGCCATGGGCATGTTCGTGGATGGGCGCCATGGGCATGTTCGTGGATGGGCGCCATGGGCATGTTCGTGGATGGGCGCCATGGGCATGTTCGTGGATGGGCGCCATGGGCATGTTCGTGGATGGGCGCCATGGGCATGTTCGTGGATGGGCGCCATGGGCATGTTCGTGGATGGGCGCCATGGGCATGTTCGTGGATGGGCGCCATGGGCATGTTCGTGGATGGGCGCCATGGGCATGTTCGTGGATGGGCGCCATGGGCATGTTCGTGGATGGGCGCCATGGGCATGTTCGTGGATGGGCGCCATGGGCATGTTCGTGGATGGGCGCCATGGGCATGTTCGTGGATGGGCGCCATGGGCATGTTCGTGGATGGGCGCCATGGGCATGTTCGTGGATGGGCGCCATGGGCATGTTCGTGGATGGGCGCCATGGGCATGTTCGTGGATGGGCGCCATGGGCATGTTCGTGGATGGGCGCCATGGGCATGTTCGTGGATGGGCGCCATGGGCATGTTCGTGGATGGGCGCCATGGGCATGTTCGTGGATGGGCGCCATGGGCATGTTCGTGGATGGGCGCCATGGGCATGTTCGTGGATGGGCGCCATGGGCATGTTCGTGGATGGGCGCCATGGGCATGTTCGTGGATGGGCGCCATGGGCATGTTCGTGGATGGGCGCCATGGGCATGTTCGTGGATGGGCGCCATGGGCATGTTCGTGGATGGGCGCCATGGGCATGTTCGTGGATGGGCGCCATGGGCATGTTCGTGGATGGGCGCCATGGGCATGTTCGTGGATGGGCGCCATGGGCATGTTCGTGGATGGGCGCCATGGGCATGTTCGTGGATGGGCGCCATGGGCATGTTCGTGGATGGGCGCCATGGGCATGTTCGTGGATGGGCGCCATGGGCATGTTCGTGGATGGGCGCCATGGGCATGTTCGTGGATGGGCGCCATGGGCATGTTCGTGGATGGGCGCCATGGGCATGTTCGTGGATGGGCGCCATGGGCATGTTCGTGGATGGGCGCCATGGGCATGTTCGTGGATGGGCGCCATGGGCATGTTCGTGGATGGGCGCCATGGGCATGTTCGTGGATGGGCGCCATGGGCATGTTCGTGGATGGGCGCCATGGGCATGTTCGTGGATGGGCGCCATGGGCATGTTCGTGGATGGGCGCCATGGGCATGTTCGTGGATGGGCGCCATGGGCATGTTCGTGGATGGGCGCCATGGGCATGTTCGTGGATGGGCGCCATGGGCATGTTCGTGGATGGGCGCCATGGGCATGTTCGTGGATGGGCGCCATGGGCATGTTCGTGGATGGGCGCCATGGGCATGTTCGTGGATGGGCGCCATGGGCATGTTCGTGGATGGGCGCCATGGGCATGTTCGTGGATGGGCGCCATGGGCATGTTCGTGGATGGGCGCCATGGGCATGTTCGTGGATGGGCGCCATGGGCATGTTCGTGGATGGGCGCCATGGGCATGTTCGTGGATGGGCGCCATGGGCATGTTCGTGGATGGGCGCCATGGGCATGTTCGTGGATGGGCGCCATGGGCATGTTCGTGGATGGGCGCCATGGGCATGTTCGTGGATG